ATTGAGGTGTTCAAGCTACCTTATATAGATATTTCAACAACCAAAAACTTGAAGATCTTGGTAAACCTAAACAAGGAAAATTACCCAAGATTTGAGGATATGCTGAGGTAGCTGGAATGGTCTTAATATTTCCTTTAACACCATATGCCACACAATTTTTCAGTACAAAAAAATTGCACACCTGTAAAGATAAAAGAAAGGCCATTCTAATAGAGGTAATTTCCATCTTGGGGAATAGTAAAACTTTCGAGTAAATTGACTTTGAATTTGAGTAAAAATTAGCTTACACGCAAATTTGGCCATCAAACATCCTCCTATTTCAGACGATCAACTTTCGACTAAAAGTTATAATTCAACAAAATGAAAACATCAAAGAATAATTTCTCACCTTAAAGAAAGATTTCCTCAATTTACTGGTTAGATTTTAAATACAACAGGAACAAAGATAACCATGTCTTGAGGTTTTTCCCTTTCGGGCACATTTTGACGAGTGATTTATCTCCAAATAAAARGACGATGTACTTGTTGATATGCTCATGTGCTAGTCCTTCGTCTCTAGTTTTGATCCTCTTTGAAGCCCTTCCATCGAATGCCTCTAAATTCTGAGAACGTTGATCAGAAAACCCACAGACTGTGCATTACAAACAAAATGGCGGCTGAAATTCTTTTGTTTTCTATTAACGCGCGCATGCGCAGTACAAATTGCCTATATGCTTATTAAAGCTAGTTATGCTTTCTGCCATTCACCCTGAATAATCTTGATTTATTTAGTTAATATTTAACAATCTAAGACCTGTAGCTCTTATGGTCTATGAGTCAATACCCCATGAGGTCAAAGGCCATGAGGGCGAGAGGTCTTATTGTTTTTATATAAACCTACTAATTGTTCCACAAAATACAAACAATTTTGAAATTAGGTTAAAATAACTGTTCAGTAATTTATTTTTCAAATTGTTTGTTTCTTCAAAGTCGGTACTTTTCACTAATAGTGTTCTATCACTAATATACCACTAGTAGCTCAGCCAATCAGAGAGCAGGATTCGTGATAGACCATTAGTAGGTTTATGCTAAATGATCATTGAATTTGATATTGATATATTTTGGATATATGTATATACATCTTTTATTCAATTTCTATATTGTGTAGCTCCAGAAATTTAATCCATACCTCCTCCAAGGAGGGATTTTTTAAAGACCCCCCTTACCCCAGAAATTCCATTTTTTTTCTTTACAAACTCCATAATTTTGTTCTTTCTCTGAACCCCACCCCCAGTAAATTCCCATTCCTCTGTTGGGTGGTGGGGTGGAGTATGGATAATTTCTGGAACTACACATTCATAATTTTTTTTTCATATTTACAGTAATAAAAAATACTTAGATTTTTTAAACATTTTAGGGTGGAATATGAGGGGATATTTTATTTTGAGTCTGCTGTTTAATGGAATGGGGTACCAATTAAAAGATGAAAATGATGCCCACTCGTTTTCCACCCTAAAATGTCTAATAAGTTATCAGGGTAGCATGGGTGGTGTTCGCGGCTAACGTGTCGTCTTTTACCACTGTAAGTCCAACGGGTTGGGTCGCTGGTTCGGGCCCTGCGGTCGCCACATGTGAATTGAGTTTGTTTGATGTGTTTTTTTCTCATATGCTACTAGGATTTTCTCCAGGTTCTCTGGTTTCCTCCCTCCATAAAAATCAACATGTGAGTTGAGTGTTGTACGTAGTAAATATAGACTGTAGTGGTAGTGCATGTGGAGGGAACCTCACAGAAGAGCCCCGTATGGGGAGTGATGGTTGTATAATATACTATTTTATCATTATCATTACTATTATTATTATTATTATCATTATTATTATTAATTAACTGAGAAGAACTGAGCTCACTTTTTCCCAAAAAGAAGGCTTCAAAAAAAACATTTTTAAAAATGGTTTTCAAATTTATTTTTTTACTGTACAACATAACTTAGTAGTAGCTCCAGGCTTTCTCCTGCGTAATTTGTACTCTAATATTAATAGTTTGATATAATTATAATAACATGAAATATTCCATGAGTCACTTTTATTTTCTATGTAAGTGTGTATGCAAAGAAAATACAAGTGACAAGTGGGATATTCCATGGTGTGCCACAAGAAAGCATTGTATAACTATTATATATACAAGTGACAAGTGGGATATTCCATGGTGTGTCACAAGAAAGCATTGTATAACTATCATATACAAGTGACAAGTGGGATATTCCATGGTGTGTTACAAGAAAGCATTGTATAACTATTATATATACAAGTGACAAGTGGGATATTCCATGGTGTGTCATGAGAAAGCATTGTATGACTATTATATACAAGTGACAAGTGGGATATTCCATGGTGTGCCACAAGAAAGCATTGTATAACTATTATATACTATTATATACTATTATATTATATATTAAGTGACAAGTGGGATATTCCATGGTGTGTCACGAGAAAGCATTGTATAACTATTATGTACAAGTAACAAGTGGGATATTCCATGGTGTGTCACAAGAGAGCATTGTATAACTATTATATACAAGTGACAAGTGGGATATTCCATGGTGTNTCACAAGAGAGCATTGTATAACTATTATATACAAGTGACAAGTGGGATATTCCATGGTGTGTCACAAGAAAGCATTGTATAACTATTATATACAATTACCAAGTGGGATATTCCATGGTGTGTCACGAGAAAGCATTGTACAACTATTATGTACAAGTGACATGTGGGATATTCCATGGTGTGCCACAAGAAAGCATTGTATATATAACTATTATATACAAGTGGCAAGTGATATGGTAAATAACTAAGAGCACAGTGCATGATGGAAAGGAAGAGTGGAATAAAAAGTTCCATAAAACTGTAAAAAGCTTATGACACGAACCCAGTCGTGACACAGCAAAGCATATGCTCATTGCAAGAGAATTTACTGTCTATCAAATGAAATACTCAGAACATGGCATGCACACGGCATGCACACAGCATGGAAAAGGGCACACCAAGGTCACAGCACTGCCAGACTAATCACATTGGGTGAGAAATAATCTCTCAGTCAAAATATTTCTAGAAAAATATGGTCACAGTAAGGCATGCATATGGCATCGACTGTATCACTGTCCTACAAAAATTGCTCTATCAACAATAAATTATAATATCATTATTGGTCGAAAACTGTGCACTTAAATAGTGAAAAGAGCAAAGTGCTGACACATATCCGCATGCACGAAGTGCTCAATGCTGCTAGACCCAGCTACCGTTTTTCTTTCTGCATTAATAAATTCAATACCAAGATAAAATTAATGACTTATGCTTCTCCTTACACTTCTTTTGTGCTTACGCCACTTCCTGAGTGCTTTATTACTGAATGGAGCACAAAAAAAGCTGTTTTATTTGTTAAATATACAACCCTACAGCTTTCCTGCATTCTAATTGGCTGTATTTTCTATGATGTGGGATAAAAGTCAGTAYCATWTGTCTCCCACTCATATGAAAATCGCTCTGGACCAGATATAATCTTAGCTTCTATGTTTTGATATCTTGAACCACCACAGGTAGCCCAAGCTTGGTTTCTGTGGTGTCGTGTTACGAGGAAATGTATGGGCATTCTTCAAAAATTTCAATAAAATCATTGAAACGTGAAATAAAGCCACTAAATTTTACCCGATCATTGAGAAATAGCACTTCTTTTGCTCTGTGTGGTTATTTTTTTGAATTTAGCCTGTTTTAAGAATTTTTCCCCCACCAATAAGAAATAAAAAAAACAGAAACTAAGCTTGGGACCACAGCCTTATCAGACTCATTATTTGTGTGGCTTGGATACCTGTGGTGGTAAACTACTTGAGCTGTTATCTCCACAATTGAAGATTTTTGTATAAAATAAACTGTTCAAAACCTTCAAATTCTTTGTCAAAACAAAGCTTAGATATTTTATGATCTTTTTGTGTGTGTGTGTGTGTGGTTTTTTGTTTGAGCTTATCTGTTCGCATTCAAGACATTATTGGAGGTTTAGATGTTGTGGGTGCAAATAAAAAACTTGATATTTTAGCTTTTGCTTCAACAAACAACAGTAATTCTTCAGCTCTGTTATTCTCCACTATAACTGCATGGTTTTGATCAACAATACAAGCAACTGTCATATCTAGATAACCAAGGTACTTTGTTGTTTTGTTATGATACAATTAACCAACTTTTCTAACCTCTAAAAAACCCGGAATTAGAAATGACAATATGGACTACCAGGTGCTTCAAGAGACTTCTCTCTCCTAGAATATATTAAATATATTCCTATTTCTATCCTAAAACATTCACGACTTACCTGAATGTACTTTAAGCCATGTTCAAAGCCACACAATTCACAATACTGGGATATTTTCCTCGATATAAACTTCTCTACTCGACTCGACTCAACATGTCTGGCCGAGGTGTTACGTACATACTTTGTGTAAGGTATCATATTGCGACTCATTATAAACATATTCGGAAAAGGAACAATAAAAATTAGATACATGAAGTATAAAGCTTTTTTCAAACAGACACACCTAAAAGTGTGACGTCAATGCTTACTCCCAATCACGTGACGTTTAGGAGTTGACTGAGGGGCAACTAGCGGATGTTAAGTCAAAACATGTCAAAAGAAGTCCTCAAACTATTGTATTTGACTATTTCTACGAAATGAAACCAGAAAACAAGAGAACAAAACAACCTCCAACATTCTACAAGCCATCAAAAAAGAGCTATTACCGGAAGTGACGTCTATTGATAGTAACCCATGCTTCGTTTGAAAAAAACCACTTCCGGGTACACAACGAAAAAAAGGCAATTTATTCTATAAATATTTTTATTACGTTTTCTTTATGAAAGAATTTCTTGTCCAAAGTTCTATATTTTTATCAGCTGGAAGTTAAATCATTGAGATCATTTTCTGCTAATTCATTTTAGCGATTAATTTTGGTCGCCCCGGCCTGTCATAGGGCAACAACACAGGGTGACCAGTTCTAAATAGGAAACAACTAAAACACTTGAAATTCTAACAAAAATACGCCCTCATCACACAAGAGGTTTGAGTTCAGATTATGACAGACAGATGTCCCTAGAATGTTGCCAGCCCTGTGTAGTAACACATTTTGGGATCGAAGAGTTGGTATCTCACGATTTGTGAGGGGAGTGGGGGGTATGGGAGGTGGGGTGAGGGTCTTTCTGACTACCACTAGGAATAATATACTTTGAACTACACAACTTTATGATTTAAAAATATTAACCTTTTATTGTTTTATAAGTTCAACGTAATCCGATGGTTTTATGATTGACCAATGTAACCATGGCAACAATTTCTGCGTAAAACTTTTTAAAGGGGTTCGTATGTTCCGAACTTCTGTCGTAAAAAAAATGAGTTTCTTAGTCGGTTCATCATGTAATATTTACTTATTAGGTCAAGTAAGCTGCCAAATGTTATTAAATTTTGACTAAATATTTTTCTTTAATTGTTTATGTAAATTTACCAGCAAAGCAGAATTATGCCCACAAGGTCCCCACAAGACAAATATACGATAAAATACATCAACAAATTTTGGAATCGAGTATTTAACGTTTTACTATTTAAGGCCATGATAGGAGTAGTCATTTCCTTTCCCTTGAGTATTATTTCTGTCTCGATGACGACATGCATACAGTTTTAAGCAAAATAATGTATTCTTCTCAGATTTTGCTAGTATTTTAGTCCACTTGTCACTCTCTAGAGAATATCCATATTCATGTGTCTTCCCATGCAGACAAATAGCTTTTGTATTTCAGAGGGTAGATCACAGCAACGTATCTGTCGATTGTTAATGCACCTAAAGAGAGGATCGAAGCTGTTGAGAGAATGAAGTAAGATATGTGGAGGATCCGAATATCTACGAGATCTATTTCGAATGCTTCACTACGATGGAATACTGCCGATGTTGGATCCATTGAGATTCCAACCAAGAGGTCTGTCATCGCGAGACTTCGAATCAGAAAAGTGAACGGAGTTCGTAGCTCGTGGAATGGATCTTTCAAAATGGCGTAACATATCAGAGAGTTTGCTGGAACAGTTACTAGTATAAGACCTAAAGACACTGTCGTAGTGAAGATGGAAAGATATCTTGGTGCAGAAACGCCAACACACGAAGCACTGACGCCGTCGTTCGACATCCTTGCCTTGACAAAATGGCCAACTTCTTGAAAATTTTTTCCAAAATACTTGATAATGATCTTAAGGTAAACTAAGACTTCAAAGTGGACTTTACATCGAAACTTCAAGTTTTTGATATTACTATTTCGAAAAACGTTGTCCTTCGGAGATTTGAAATCTGAGACTGAGTGCAATTTTCGGTGACTAAGTGTTTTCCCATTAAAAATTTAAAATACATGACACTTATTGCCACAAATCCTTAAAGCAGGTCATCGCATAAACATGGCATACTACTACTAATAATAATTAATACTGTATTTAATTAGACTTAAATATATTTATTTTATACTGTATTTAAATTTTTTTGCACACGTACTGTATTTAAATTTTACCTTTTTGCGGAATATTGATAAAAAAGACAAAACGATTTACAGCTTACAGCCCACAATTCATTTCGGTGTCAGATTCCAGATCATCCACCGACGTTTTTTGAAATAAGGCGCTCTTTTGATGTGCACTGGGTTGCCCAATGTGCGGGTATGCTGGAGCTTATTTAAATTTTGTAACATTTTAGGTGTATTTTTTCCAGAACTTCCGAGCACTACAGATGCGGTTTTGTACACGGAGAAAAACAGCATTGCGTTACGACGTCACTAAGTTTTACTATACGCTCCATCTTGAATTACACTCATAAGCGCTAATGATCCGACTGACTCGTCGAGTCTGATAAAACAAATATATCTATTTGAAGAACCAGCACACATATCCATGTAAGCGTTTTTTTGTTTTTTTCGCTAACCGTTCTGAAGTTCTTGATCATTCCATTATAGATTATATTCTTCAAATATAGTTTTTTTAAATATCCAAACCAATGAAGTGGAATGAAACTCTGTGAGTAAAAGGATTCAAAACTAAGCGAAAAGTATTTACGGCCAAAGTTACCAAGCTCTCCGAATTACAATCCTAGAAATCTTCTTTTACTGCTCAATTATATTACTTCTAAAGCCCGGAATTGCATCCTCAGCTGCTGAGCCAATCTACGAGTCATAAATCTGTAAACAAGTCCTTCAAATCCAAATTCTCAAATTTCGGGAGACGGAGAAAAAACTATTGTTTTAACGCTAGGGATCATGGTCACTGGAGGGGGATGGAATGACAACAACACATCTTAAATCACAATGAAATTTGGTTTATGAACTGGTGAAGCCAAGAACAACTTAATGTCTCGAAAGAAAATAATTAAGCTTAAATCTAGCCTACATTTTTATCATTTTAGCAGATGTACACAAACCGTGACGTCATTATGAAATAGGCCAATTGTGGTGGAGTATATGGAGAACGAAGATGGTGTAATTGAAAACTAATATTTGAAATAGAAGTCAAACTTTATGTACTTATTGACTGAGTGGGAGGGCCGTACGGGAAAATATTTGGCTCGAGGTGATGCCGTACGGACCGAGCGCAGCGAGGTCCGTACAAATGACCGAGAGCCAAATATTTTCCCGTACGGCCCGACCTAACTCAGGCAATAAGCATTTTATCATATGACCCTCACGAAAAAATTAATAAAAAAATAAAAGAAAGAAAGAAATAGTAAATAAAAGCTAAAAAAGAGAAAGCGCGCGGATTCGAACAGGGCCGGACGGGTTTTTCCGGCCCGCTTACGTCAACCCGTTCGGCCCCCATCACGTGACTTTTTCCAATGGTTTTATTAGAGCGCGCGAGCAGGGCCGTACGGGTCATATGATAATACCACATATTATTCTTTTCCAAGTTGTCGTTTCTTCCATGTTCCTTCCAGCTTTCATGATTCGTTACCTTCATTTTATTTTAATTATAAATCATCAAAAGACAGAGTTCCGTAAAAACGATTGGAATATGCTACGTGTGGACGCGAATTATTTGACATCCGCAACAACACGATGCGGATTCAAWAATATCCGGATACGTGTGGACGGGGCTTTAGTTTCAATATCAATATGTTCATTCCACGTAAGATTATTCTTGCTTATTATAATTACAAAATAATTAAAGGATTCAACTATGTCTAATGGTTAACCATCAAAAGAAAAACTTATGTAATCTATATGACTTAGCCGCTTTATTACTGCCTATCAACATAAACTACTTACATTTTGATATATTTTTAAAGAAAGCTGGTTTTTATCTTGACCAGTTTCCAACCTTTAGGAAGTCTGAATTCAATTTTGATTCTACATCTAACGCTCTGAAGGCATTATACTTCACCCTAAATGGACGCCTTCGCCATTCGTGGTTGCTCCCTCGTACAATAGCGAATCAATCACCGTTTCAGCAGTTTCCCAGTGAAATTAAAATCTTGTCCCACAAACAACTACACAGTATTTGTTATAAAGAGTACTACAAGGATTACTAGACAATTTTTCTTTCTTTTTTTTTCAAAGGCAAGTAAAAACAGAAACAATTTATGATCAATTTTCCGTGATCAGAGTTTTAAATTCCGAGATATTCCATCGGCATATTTGTTGAGCTTGTGGGACATAACAACAGTAAGTAAGTACAGTAAAGCTGAATTAATTTAACGAGATCAACAAAGATTCCATACAGCTGAAGCAAGAGAATATTACTTAACATTCTCTTGAACCTGAAGTGAATACCATGTTCACTTCAGCTATATGGACATTTTTTAAACACGCAGTCAACAGTTATTTCCTTTTTCAAGTCATGTAAGAGAGGCTAAACGTTCAATAAATGCAAAAGCAGTAACATGGCTGTCAGCAGTAACATGACTGTCAGCTTTTTCTTATGGTCAGTAACATGACTGTCAGCTTCTTCTTATGGTCAGTAACATGGCTGTCAGCAGTAACATGACTGTCAGCTTCTCCTTATGGTCAGCGACATTTTCTTAAGATTCTTAAGATTTGTAGTCACGTGTAAACTTGTGACATTTGTTCTCAGCTGAGATCCATTGAAGACGTGTGTTTTTATTGAAGACCTTGAAGGTTTAAATTATGAAACACAAGTCTTGACACTTCATTAACTGGACCTTTGAAATGACTGCTGATCAAGTTGAAGGAATTCCATTCTTCTTCTGGTAACAGAAGGTATTGTTTGCTATTTGGGAAAACAGGATATGGAAGATAGATTCTGTGGTCAATCTCATCTGTTTGGAGATTGATCACGAACACGCAACTCTCATCAGTAATCACGAGATATGACCTTGATACGAACAAAATATCAAGACACGATACCACCCATAAGTCAAATGCCCAAAGTTTGAACAAAGAGCCATTTGACGTGTTGACTATGAATATGG